TTAGTAAAATACAGTTTTACTAATAATCAAGTAAAAGAAAGTAGTCTTTTAAGGAAGTCATTGCCATCCTTTCATAGTGAGTACAACTAAACAAAATGAAAGGATTGACTCATGTAGAAGCCTGTGTGTCTAGAATTTCTGTTAAGTGTATTTAGAAGGTGCCGTGCATATTCATGCCTCGCGAATGCCCCGTGTGCTGAGTCGGTTCTGACTCAGAGTGACGCGTGGGGCTGAGCACAAGCGCCCCATTGGTGTCCAGGGCGAGAGAAGTAGGCCGTTGCATCTTTCTCCTGCAGAGTTGCTGGTACATTCAAATAGCCAACCTTTCACTTGGCAGCCAAGGGCTTCAACCACCGTGCCACCAGGGTGCCTCTCTCTCCTCCGGAATGTGGTTGGTGAGTGCTGTAGAGGCAGCTCCAGCTCTCAGGAACCCCTTTCGCGGCAGGTTCGCGGCAGCGCCGAGCACTGCCCTGTGCCGCACCACCCGTGCTTGTGGCTGTGCTTCAGCCCTGGCTCCAGCCACTGCTTCAAGGTGTCTCCTCAGAGGTCTTCCTCTCTCTCCCGGACCCTCTGCTTTACCAAGCGTGATGTCCTTTTCCAGAGGCGATCCAAAGTAGGGGAGACCAAGTCTCGCCATCCTTGCCTTTACGGAGCATACTGGCTGTATTTCTTCCAAAATAGATTTCATTGTTCTTCTGGCAGCCCATGAAATATTCAATATGTTTTGTCAATGCAATAATTTGAATTGTGATGTCTGTCCTGAATTCAAAAATCAAATTCTCTTCTGTTGGGTTGATTCTGACTCATAGCTGCCATATCGGATAGAATGGAATTGCCCCTGTGGGATTCCAAGACTACCTCTTTATGACAGTAGAGAGCCTCATCTTTTTCCCTTAGAATGGCTCATGGTTTTGAACTACTGACCTTGTGATTATGCTAAAAACTTAGGTGTAAAAGTACAAGTCTATTTAAGCAACTTCAGTTATTGAAAAACCCTTAATGAATCCATTTCTCTGTTTTTGTACCTGTCATTTGACTTGGGCAGTTATTGCTAAAATGGCTTTCCCTCCGCAACTCTGAGCCCCTTGAACTAAGAACTATATTAAGTTCCTATTTGTTGAGTGGACTTTAATGATCGTTCACATCTCTTGGTTCACAGAAATGGTGTTCTGTCTCTGTTATAAGACTCGTGCTAACAGTACGAGCTTTCAATGTTGCGTGGATGAAAAGGTGAAATCTATTTTTTGCCATATTGCTTTTAGAATTCATAGTTTTTATTATTCTTGAAACTAAAGTAAATCACTTTGTTATACATTGAATTGGGTCCCCCAAGTATATATGTTGTAAATCCTACCCTTTGTACTTGTGGTTTTAATCTCACTTGGAATGAATTTTTTTTTTATGTATTAACATGCAGTATTAGTATAGGGTTTGTCTTAAATTGATCTCTTGTACAAAAACTCAGATTGAGCAAGCATAAGGTACGAAAAGGAAGGAAGCTTGCAAGGAAGCAAGCAAGCAGAGATGGAGAAGCTATAGATGCCACCCAATAGGAGGGTTGCCAAGGC